ATTTTTCATATAAATTCCAATTTGTCACTTTTAAAAACATGAACTAGGGCCGGGAATTTAGCTCAGTGGTTCTGGTGCCTGTCTCGCAAGTGGAAGGACCCAAGTTCAATCCCTGGTACCAAAAAAAATAAAAAAGTAAAAACATGGAGTTTGTTTTTATGTTCTAATAAATCTTTGTCTAACTAAAGTTTACAAATATTGTTTTCCTGTGAAGTTTTTTTTCCCTAAAAGTTACAATTTAAGTTTTATATTTGGGTCTGTGATCCATTTGCACTTAATTTGGTATATGGTGCAATGTACTGATGGAGGGATTTTTTTAAAAAGTCTGACTATCCAATGGTTTCAGCACCATTTTTGCACATTTTTAATTTCTGTCTTCACTAATCTGCCCTATGTTTTAGTTGCAAATGAGGTGTCCTTATATGCACAGATTTCTGGTCTCCTTAATCTGTGACCTTGCTGATGTCATTACCATACTGTTTTAATTACTGTAGAGTCACTGTTAAGTTTTAAAGTCAGATAGTGTTCACCTTCCAACTTCTCTCTTCCTCAAAGTTTCTTGAGCTATTCTAGGTCCTTTGCATTCCTATATGAATGTTGGCATTAGCTTGCCAATTTCTACAAAAATGCCTGCTGGGAATTCTATTTGGATTACAATGCATTTGTATGCATCAATTTGAGATTTGACACTTAACAATATTGAGTCTTCAAGTCTATGAAGTCAGCTTTTCTCTCCAATTATTTAAGTCTTCTTTAATTTCTCTTACCTATGTTATATATAGGTCTTTGACCTCTATGGGACTTACTTCATACTCTGGTGTTTTGGACCTGGTAATGTAAGATTGATTGGTATTTGAAAGTTGAACTTTCCATGAATTCCGGAGATCATCCCACTTAGTCATGAGGCACTGTCCCCTTTATGGATTGCTACTTTTGGTTTGGTCAGATATTGTTTAGAATTGTATCTATGCTCATGAGGGACATTTGGATCTAGGACTGTTTTGTTTTTGTTTTCCCCCTTGTACTGTCTTTGTCTTAAGATGAGGGCAGCAGAATTATCTGGCAGAATTCATATAAAATTAGAATTATTTCTCCCTTATACATATAGGGGAATTCACCCAAGAAGCCAACCACACATTAGAATTTTTCTTTGTGGGAAAATTCTTAACTATAAAATAAATTCATTTCATAGTTATGGGACTATTCAGATTATCTATTTCTTTTTGAGTAAACTTTGGTAAATTATATGTCTTTATTGTGATAAAGGTGTTCATAATATTTCCTTATAATTCCTTTAATATCTGTAGATGGTCCTGATATTACTGTCGTGTAACATTGTATTTTGTGTTGTATTTTCTCCTGGTTAGTCTGACTGGTGGCTTTTCCCTTTAAGTCTCTCCACTGACAGATATTGATTTCACTAATATTCTCTATTATTTTTGTTTTCTAGTCTATTGAATTTCACTCAAATTTTTTTCTAGTTACTTGGGATTTATCACCTTCGGCTAGTTTCTTAAAACAGAAGATGAAGTCATTGATTTAACCTTTCTTCTTTCTTAATAATAAACTCTTTGTGCTATACAAGTCCTCCTACTACTGTTTTAATTGCTTTAATAGTATCTAACAAATTTTGATGGGTTTTGTTTTCATTTTCAAACTTTTTCTAATATCTCCTTTAATTTCCTCTTCAATCCATGGGTAATCGCATTTACAAATATTTGGGTATTTTCCCATTATGTATTACTGATTTCAGATTTAATCCCACTGAGAAAATAGTGTGACTTGAATCTTTTATATTGTGATTCATTTTCTCTTTTCCAGAACATGGTCTATCTGCACAGACCATGTATACATAAATAGTGCTCTGCTGTGGGTGTTCTCCAAATGTCAAGCAGGCCAATTGGTCAAAAGTGATGCTCCAGTCTTCTGTATTCTCAGTGACTGTTGTGGTTACTCTGCAGCAACAGGATGAGCTTCCGTCCAAAATGTGGTTTGGATGTTGATATTAATGCCCAAACAGACACACGCAAAGGGGATGAAAAGGTTTCTTACTCACATAATGAAGTGAAGTGTCTGGGGAGAGCAAGATAGCGTCTAAGCAGATCCAGAATGGATTGAGGGACCGGGGAAAGGAGACTGACTTGGGGTTTTCATGGTGGCCAGGGGTAGGGCAGATTGAAGGTACCTGTGTGTGGTAGGGGCAGTCTGGTTTGAGGCAGTTCATGGACTAGTGCCAATAATGGGAGCACGCACTTTCTGCGCAGGCTTCCCACATATGGAAGAGAAGAGGAAGAGAGAGGTGAGGCTTAAAAGCTGTTAGCAGTCAAATGTCAAAAACTGCAGTCACAGGGGTTTGGGATGTAGTTCAGTGGTACAGCACATGCTTAGCATGCGTAAGACCCTAGTTCAACCCCTAGCACCACAAAAAAGACCAAAAAGAAAAGAAAATTGGAGCAAGACTCTTGACTACCGTGGTTGTCTATCTACTTGTTCTGCCAATTACAGAAGATATGGACATATCTATCTGTACAGATTTCTTTTTGTTATTGGTTTTTTTTTTTGGTACCGGGGACTGAACTCAGGTCCTTGCGCCTGTGCAGCAGGCGGCGAAACCACTGAGCTAAACCCCTAGCCCTGTTTCCTTTACTTTGATGCTGTTATTAGGCATACAAATGTTCAGAAGTAGATTTCTTGATAAGTGACCTCCTTGCCATTATAAATACTACTCAGTGTTAACAGAGCCACTCTGCTTTCTGTTGGTTAGGGTTAGGATGGTTTATCTTTGTCCATCTTTTCATCTTCACCCGTCTTTATATTTACAGTATGTTTGTTGCAGGCAATCTACACCTAAATCTTGGTGCTGTTTATTAGGTCTGATCTGACAATTTCTCTTAACTGAAGTGATTAGACAATTTATAAGTTATAGTAGTTAGGCTTAAGTGTTAATATTTTGCTATTTTTATTTATCTCATCTGTTCTTTGTGGTCCTGTCCTGTGTGGGTGGAGTTCTAAAGCAAGAGCTCTGTAGCCCTTGTGCCACTGGCCAGCTGTGGTCACTGCTGGCCAGTGTCCATGATTCTGATGGTTTAGGGCTGGGAACTGCTTTCTGGGCTCAGGAATGGAAGCAGTAGTTTCTTTCTTCCTCTATGTTTTCTGCCACAGATTATTCTTGATTCTGCCCCCCCCCGCCCCGCCTCCTGGCACCAGTGAATACATTTGGTAGTCACTTAAGTAATTAGGTGCAAGTAGAGAAAAGCACAGAAGAGTTTCCACCTTACAAGTATATCGTGTAGCAAAATGATTTCAGGGCTGGGGATTTAGCTCAGTGTTGCCACGCCTGCCTTGCAAGTGCAAGGTCCTGAGTTCGATCCCGGTACCGAGAAAAAATAATTTCATAAGGCACATGCTGTGGATTGAATATTTGTATTCACTTAAATTTCAAAAACTCTAGCGCTAATCCCTCATGTTAATGTACCTGGAGATAGGACTTTGATGGGAATAATTAAGATGAAATGTAATCTTAAGAGCAGGACCTTCATCTAGTAAGATTAGTATCCTATAAGAAACATCAGAGCCAAAACTCTGTGCAGTCATGCAGCACACAGTGAGATGGTGGCTACCTACATACCAAGAGAAAAGCCCTCAGAATAAAACCTACCTTGTGTACCTTGATCTTCCCAGCTTCTAGAACTGTGATAAATAAATTTCTTCTAAGTGAACCATCCTATGATACTTTGTATGGCAGACTGAGCTAAGGTACTACCATATGTTTCTGTTTTCCAAAGTCAAGGTTAGGTCCCAGAATTAGGGCACAAAACAATGAACTGCAAACCTCATTATAGATATGGTGGTACTTGGGTTCATGAACTCAATTTTCTCCATGATTCTGGTCACAAACCAAACTGGACAAGAATCAAATCAAATTTCCCCACAGGGTCAACACTCAACCTAACCACTGAATTTGATTTGGTACTCATCCAACTCAGTTTGAGAACAGAATCATGGAAAGAATCAAGTTTGTGACCCAAGGTACTACTGTAGTACAACCTCTGGGACTCAGAACCTTTAGGAATACTCAATTTACCAAGGATTGCTGGGTATTCCCACATCCTAGAGAAATGACCAGACCTTTAAATAAGATGCACTTTAAATCCCATGGGCTGGGCATCTTGTTGTGATGGAACTGACATTTTGGAATGTTAGCAACCATCTTAATGTCACAGCAGCATCTGTGGTCTCTAGTGGTGAAAAAGTCCAGATGCTGTTAAAATCTACTCCCCCTCCATCACTGGAGGAAATGCTAAAGTGTAGCTAGAGACTAATGATTTTGATGCATGGGAAACCAAGAACTCTTCCCAAGACACCATTCCAATGGGCCAGGCCAGGCTGTGGAGACATTTTCACTGCATATTTCCTGCCAGGGCTACTCCAAGGTTTCCAGCTTTCCATGCTATTCTTTGGATGCCTCTGCCAGTGCACATGAATTCTGGAAGGAGAGTTATTTCAGCTTAACATGAATGCTGGTCATGTGCTGGGAGGTGGGTGACTTTGGTCTCCGAAGACCAGACTGAAAGCGGTAGGTCTCAGAGCTGTGTGAGCAAAGGGGACCCTGACTCTGTGCCTGGAAGGTGGCTGGGGGATGAGCTCCAGAGCCCTGCAGAGGACAGGCTGTCCTGGGCATGCCAGGCTTCTGGGAATGTCCCCTTGCCCCAACCCCCTCACGTTTGCATCACCTGCCTGCCTGAGGGCCACCAGAAAGGTAAACGTTTGAAAAACAAACTCCTTTCTCCCCCAAAATATTTTTTATTCTTGCATTACATTTGTTTCCAATTGTAAATAAAAAATGCTTAGAAAGTGGTTACAAAACAGCATGAAGTGGACTTGAGGAGGGGCTGGCCCGGAAGGTCTGTCACAGCGCCGCTGGATGATGCGACATGGGCCTGGTGGTGCCTGTGCCCATCAGTTGGGATTCTCGCTGTCAGGATCTGGAAAACAAAACCGCCACAGCTCACTTGTTACGGCCCTCTGTAGCACAGCCCACTGTCCTGGGAGCTGCTAAATCAGAAGTAAAAGAGCAAGGCCAGAGGTGGGCCAGTCTGCCATGAACATGCGCTGTACCAAGTCCTGTCCTCAGCACAGAGCCCACCAGCATGCTACCTGGCCATTTTCTCTGTGACAGCCAGGTACTCAGAATGACTACAAAACCAGAGTGCCTGGCAGTGAGTGACCCTTTGGCCCCTTGGGTAGCTGGGAGACCAGAGACCACAAATTTTCCCTGCCTCCCTCCAAGGGCAGTGCCAAGGTAAGGTGCTGTGTGGTAGCTGTGGGGGGGTGTGCTGGCTATGGGGTGGAATGTCCCTTGTCCCGCAGCAGAGGTATGAAGGCTGCTGCTTCGTCATAATGGGAAGGCAGCAAGGCCACACAGGCAGCCACCCCTAACTGTAGGGGCCCAGGTGGACTACAGACCTCAGAGTCATCAGGGATAGGCCCACATTGCATGTGCAAGAGAAAGCAGCTCTGGCACCATATGAAGTTATTCTTTCCCCAAACCACCACCTTCCCTACAGCCCTGTGCCTAGCAGGAAGGCCAGCACCCTTCACATGAGCCATGATAACCACAGCCCGAACTCTTCCTCTGGACAAGAACCTGAAAGAGGGGACCCCACCTGCTCAGTGCTTGGTCCACCAGGAGCCATGTAAGCCTGGCTTCATGGGAACCACCACCAACAGGGACAGGGTGAAGATGTAGTCCATGTGACCGTGAGACTCACCCCTCCATACGCACTTCTAAAAGTTATTCAGCACAGGGGATGGCAGAGCTTGGCATCCTGGGTATCCGGGTCACACCCTGTAGGTATAGTGCTGGGGAAAGGCAACCCCGCCAGAGGTCCAGTGCTTGGTCCCCAGCCCCACCAGCACTCCCATCCAGGGTGGAGGTAAGCATGGCTCCAGGCTCAGAGCAGAGTCCAGGACAAGCTGGCCTGGCTCCCCACACCTCTTTTTTCTAGGAGGTTGGTCAGTCTGGCTTTTACATGGACAGAGGGTAAGAAAAAGATGTTGTTTCACAGTGTTTTCAAGCAAAAATGTTTATTTTTCTCCTTCACATACACATTCTCTTGGGGATCCCATGCCACCACTGTTGTCGTAGGAAGAAAGGACTGAGGTGCGCAGCACACGGGGCAGCAGAGAGGGCAGCCTCTGTTTCACTGAGAAACAGGTTCACATGATTCTCGGACCAGGCACAGAACACAGAAATCTCTTATTGCAGTGTATGCCCTTGCAGAGGATCCTGTACAGTTCCCTGAAAAATTCATTTCTAACTGAACTGATGGAATGGGATATTAAAACTAAAATAACCTAGCTGGTCTAATAAGTACAAGATGTACAGTGCACAGTGGGGCTGTCACCTCCACCTGGGGCTTTTCCATGCCCATAGGAGAGGAACCCATGGAAACTGCAGAAGGGTCCTCTCCTCAGCAGTCCGGCCTTGGGAAGGAACTGCATGGCGTGGTGGGCTCCCATAGAAGTCATGGAAAAGGAGGGCAAGGGGTGGGAGACCCCTGAGCTGAAGAAGCAGTGTGCATCTCTGCTAGGTGCCCCCAATGCCCTGCTACCACCAGGGCATCTGCTCTTGTGGCATTTTCTGGTACATTCCTCACAGTTAAACAAAGCTGCTGGTGCTCCTTACTGCACATACGCTCTGCCTGGTAGTCCTCTCAGTCACTGAAAAGCCCAGGAAGCCCTTGCTCCACTGAGAACCAAGCTGAGTTCACCTAGCAGTGAGCTCCTCAGTATTCAAGATCACTGGTGCAATTTTCTTTCTTTTGTTTCTAAAAAGGCATTTACAATAGAAAACTGAAGATCAGACTTCAGCTTCAGCTTTGTAAACCATTCAGATCTCTGTAACAGCACAGTAGAAATATTAAAGCAAAGCCAACTGTAAATGAAATAAGACCTTTTCTGATTTTTTTTTAAAATATCTCTTTCCATCAGGGAACAGAAAAACTGGAATTCAAGATACTGCACTTCTACAGGGTGGATGACAAAGTTCTAACCTCTAACTGAAAGAATGAGGGTGTGCAAACCATGGGGGCTAAGAGCAATCAGGGTCTGAAACAGTAGGGGAAGCTCATCCTTCTGCCCATGCTGCCCCATGGTGACTACTGGGTCCCATGGTCGGGAGGCATGCAGAAGACAACCCACGATCTGATTCTTCCAAGCAGTTCCAAGTGCTCTACCTGGCCAGGAGCATGGCACAGGGCTACGTGATGTGCAGCTGGTGGCTGGGGGTGCTGACAGCAGGTGGCCGCAGGAACACAGGCAGCACAGGTACCTGGGCAGGGTTCCAGGTGCCCCAAACCCCTGGTGGGCTCCCCTGGGCTTCCCAGGGTCCCCAGGGCACTGGAGCTGGGCACAGGCCTCCATACTGACCCAGGAGTCGTGCACAGGGTGGGCTTGGGAGGCTAGCGTGGGCAGTACCTGGTGTGGGCACAGGCAGGGCCAAGATGGCTCCGGGAATGGCTGCAGTGGACAGAGGGCCAGGTGCTGGTGCCAGATACGGCATTGCCACTCCTACTCGAGGTATGGTCATCTAGAAGACAGAGACAAGAAAAGGAAGGTATGTGGGGTTACAATCAGCTGCCTCCTCTCATGCTCTGGGGTCCCTGAACTTTCTCCATCCTCAAGACAAAGTGGTCCTAGGACCTTCCATGGACAGGCACCCCCACCGGCTGACAATGGAGTGACAGTGTGAGATGAGAAACAGCAGCCCTCCCTCCCTTGCTCCCTAAAGCCCCAACCCAGTCACCTCTAGGCCACAAGCCCCAGCTGTCCATGGGCCACAGTGGGCCTTGGGGAAGAACTCATAGGGCCTAGCCACTTGGGGCACATAAATGACCCCTACCGCTCTACTCGGCTGGCACCATAGTATCTCATCTGGTCATCCTGTGGAATGGTAAGTATTGAGAACAGCTCAGGGGCTGGGTGGGACAGGCGCTCCTGTGCAGGGCAGGGCAAGTGTGCAGGCAGGGATCACAGGCTGCCTTCCGTGCTGTCAGCCCAGTGGAGAAGGTTTGAAGGACAGGGAAAGGAGCAGCTGAGGGCTCACACAACCTGCACCTCACTATACAGAAACCTGCAAGGCTACTGTGAGGAAGGGCATCAAAGGCCTGCAGTCTTCAACATCCTGAATAAAATGCTGGCTAATGGACTAGCAACCATAAGTGGGGTTTGCCCCAGGAATGTGAGGCTGCTGCTCCCCTTAGAGAAGTGGGGGAAAAGCCACTATACGATTTATGACAAAAGAGATATAAAAATCTCCACAAATCAACAATAAAAAGATAAACTAGCTTTTAAATGGTTAATATCCTTTACCAGACAATATACAGAGATAAATGCTAAGAATATAAAGAGGTGCTCAAAGGCAAATTAAAACAATAATGAGAAACTTACTACTAGGCCTCAAATTCTTTTTGCAAATTAACTTTCAAATACAATGTCCTACACATAATGTAAAAACAAAAACTCAGAAGACAAGGCAAGGGATTACAGAGAAAAAGTAATGGAAAGAAAAAAACTATAAAGCACTAGAGAATTTTTGGCAGAGAGTTGGAGTTTTGTTTTTGTTGTTGTTGTTTTAAGATACAGCAGGAGTGGGGAAAAACAAGTAGAAATTTTTCAGATAAAAATTTGCAATAACCAAAATTAAAAACTGAATGGATAGAGTTAATAGCAGTTTACATATGAGAAATTTAGTGAACTAAAATCTGAAGAAAATAAAACAGAAAAGAATGGTCCATTTGAAAGAAATAAAAAAATTTTAGTATATGTGCTGCTGAAGCGAGCACAGAAATAAAAAAATTTTAATTGACAGAAACTGTCTCTTAGGAAGCCAAGACATAAATAAACTGTAAATAAACTGCCTTAAATATGCTTGAACAATTAAAGGAAACCATGCACAGAGAACTAAAAAAAAAAACAAAAAAACCCCAGGAAAAATGATACATGAACAAAATGATAGTATTAATAGAAGTTATGAAAGAGATCAAATAGAAATACAAGAGGTTGAAGAGTATAAATGAAATTTCAACGCTCGTTAGAGAGTTTTAATAACATTTGATCTAGCAGAAACAAGAATCAACAAACTTGAGATATTACAATTGAAATTATCAAGTTTGAGGAACAGAAAAAGTAAAGGAAGGAAAGTGAATAGAGCCTAAGGGATCTTAAGTGGAGCTCCACTGAGTGGACCAAGGAATGCATTTTCGGAGTCACAAAAGGAAGAGAGAAAGAGGAGGTTCAAGAAAACTATCTGAATAATGGCCACTCCTTCCCCAGTTCCATGAAGACGTGAATCTACAGAAGCCCACGGAACTCCAAGCAGTAGAAAATCAGAGACAGCCTCACTGAGATATATTATAGTCAAATTATTGGAAGTCAAAGAGAAACAAGGAATCTTGAAGGCAGCAATCTGTCACTTACAAGAGATCTTCTATAAGATTAACAGCTGATTCCTCATCAGAGACCAGGGAGGTCAGATGCAGAGGGATGATATACTTAGTGCAGAAAGAACAAACTGTCAACTGGGTATTCTATATCCAGCAAAACAATTCTTCAAAAATAAAAGAGAAATTAAGACTTCTGCATAAACAAACCTGAGAGATTGTTCCTAATATCTTTCCTATCAGAAACGGAGGGTCACAAAAAAATAAAATGGTTGGGGACTGCAGCTTGGTGCCAAAGGCCTGAGTTCAATCTTGAGTATTTACTCTTCCCAAACACACATACAGAAAAGGAAGCAAAGAAGGAAAGAAGGAAGAGTGGACAGAAGGAGGGAAGGAAGTTCTCCAAGCTAAAATGAAGAGACAATAGGAAGCAACTCAAAGTTGTTACATAAGTGAATAAGTAAGCCAGTATTGCTGCTCTTTCAGTTGGTAATCCCTCTTCTTTTCTCTATATGATTTAAAGGGCAAATGCATTATATAATAATTGCAAATCAATTTTAACTGCTATGAAATGTATAAAGATGCAACTTGCACCCAAAACAATATAAAGGGGAAGAAATGGTGATATAAAAGAGTCAAATATCACTATTAAAATTAGTTTGTCTTATTCAAAGTAATCTATAAGAAGTTAAGATGCTAATTATAAACTCCAAGGTAGGCACTAGAAAAACAATTGAAATATACAAAGAAAAATAAAGAGGAAGGGAATAAAAATGATACACAGCAAAACAAAAACAAAAGGAAAAAGTCTAATTTTTAAAGAGTAGTAATGGAGTAATTAAAGAATGAAAGTCTATAAGACAGAGGGAAAACGTAGTTAAATCGCAAAACTCCTTATTCATACTTACTTTAAATGTACATGGATTAAACTTTACAACGAACAAGAAGATACTGACAAAGTGGATAGAATAACATGGCCAACTTATATGCTGCCTACATAACTCTCATTTTAGATACAAAGGAACAAAGGTGCTAAGAATAAAAGGATAGAAAAAGATAATCTATTCAAATGGTAACCAAAAGAGAGCTGGGACAGTTATACTGCTATCAGAAAAGAATAGATTTTTAATAAAAAAGTTAACAGACAAAACAAGATAATACATATGATAAAGGATTCAATTCATCAAGAAGATATGTTATAAATATACACATATCTAATAACAAAGTCCCAAATAATATGAAGCAGACATAAAAAGAACTGAAGCAAGAAATAGTTCTACAATGATAGCTGGGAGCTTAACTATTTTAGTTTCAATTATAGGTAGAACAACCATACAGAAGATCAGTAAGGAAAGGAAGGACCTGATCAACATCATAAGCCAATTAACCCCAACATATATTACAGAATACACACTGTTGGACATATGGAATATTTCCCATATGTTAAGCCACAACTCAAGTCTAGTACATTTTTAAAAGACTTAAAATAATACCTAATATCTTTTCCAACACAATGAAATTAGAAACTAATAACAAAAGGAAAACTGCAAAACTCAAAAATATGTAGAAATTAAGCAACATTCTTAAACAATCAGAAGGCCAAAGAAGTTATCACAAAGGAAATAACATTTCTATTTCTAAACAAGAAAGTTCTTAAGTCAATATTCTAAATGTATACCCTAAAGGAACTAGAAAAAGAGCAAACTAACCCAAAGCTAGCAGAGGGAAGAAAATAACAAAGACTACAGCAGAGATAAATAAAAGAGAATAAAAAATAGAGACAAATTAATGAAACCAAAAGTTGGTCCTTAGAAAAGAGAAACAAAGTTGACAAAGTTTTAGCTACCAAATTGGATATCTTAAATGACATAGACAAATTCCTAGAAACAAAAACTATTGATATTTATCGGGAAAGTGGGCTGCAGTTTTCTTTTCTTGAGATGTCATTTTCTGGCTCTATCAGTGATGTTGGATGGCCTCAGAGAATGAATTAGGTTCCCTCCTCAATGTTTTGGAAGATTTTAAGAAGGATTGGTGTTAATTCTTTAAATGCTTGGTAGAATTCAGCAATGAAGCCATCTGGTCCTGGATTTTACTTTGTTGAGAGGTTTCTGATGACTAGTTCTCAATTTAGAAAAAGAACAAAGCTGGAGGACTCATACTTTCTGATTTTAAAACTTACTATTGAGTGACAGCAATCAAAACAGTATGATATTGGCAAAAGGATAAACATATAAACCAATGAAATAGAAGAGAGAAGCCAAAAATAAACTCTTGCATACATGGCCAATGATTTTCAACAAGGGTGCCATTATTCAATGGGAAAAGAACAATGTTTTAAATAAATATCTGCTGGGAAAACTGGATATTCACATATAAAAGAATGAAACCATATGAACAAAACTGACCTAATATATGAGCTAAAGTTATAAAACTCTTAGAAGACACAGAGCCTGGCACTGTGGTACCTGTCTGTAATCCCAGAACTTGGCAGGCTGAGGCAGGAGGATCACTGTGAGTTCAAGGCCAGCCTGAACTATATAGTGAGAACCCGACTTAAAAGAAGACACAGAAAAATTACCATGACATTGTATTTAAAAATGATATCATGGATATGATACAAAATGCATAGGCAAAAAGAAAAACAGATAAACTAGACTTCATGAAAATTAAAGCTTTTGTGTATCAAAGATATTATCAAGAAAGTGGAAGAGACCCTATTGAATGGAAGAAAGTAATTTCAAATCATGTATCTGATGAGCGATTAGTAGCCAGTATGTATAAAGAATTCCTACAACTTTACAACTAAAACCCAACAACCTAAATAAAAAAATGGGCAAAGGACTTCAATAGATATTTCTGCAAAGAAGACATAAATGGCCAATAAGCATATGGAAAGATGTTCAATATCTTAGCATTACAGAAATGCAATCAAAACCACAATAAGATACCTCTTCATATCCATTAGGATGATTTTTTTTTAAGGGAGGGAGAATAACAAGCAAAGATATGGACAATTAGCACACCCTTATCCAGTCTATGGTAGTACAAAATGGTTTACCTCCTATGGACAACAGTGGTGAGGCTCCACAAAAAGGTAAACATAGAATGACCATAGGATCCGGCAATTCCATTCCTGAGTTTAAAG